TTGTAGAGAGCTATGATCGCCCATGTCCTGAAGTGTGTACAGCATATTAAATATGCTTTCTTTAATTATAATGTTGATTTTGCATGTATGGATATTCGCTATTTTAGTTGCATCTTCATGCGTTTCATTTTGATGTGTATTTTTTTTTTTTTAGGGAAATCATACTTATTATAGAACCCAGGTTGTGTGTGTGTGTGTGTGTGTGTGTTCGTTTATATATTGGATCGGATTTCCTACATTTTTCAACCGATTTCAACAAAACTTCACAGGACTACGTAAAATTACCTTGCGGTGGTTCTGACAGCGCCAACAACTGAAAAAAAACACATTTGTTTTTGCACGAAATCAATTTGAAAACACGATTAACAGGCATCGTTTTTGCGGAATGAAAGGGGAACAACTCATATCGAGTTATACACTATTATAAAACCCATGTTGTTTGTGTGTGTGTGTGTGTGTGTGTGTGTGTGTGTGTGTGTTCGTTTATATATGGGATCAGATTGCCTACATTTTTCAACCGATTTAAACAAAACTTCACTTTTTTTTGGCAGGTAGTGTTTCTTATTGTCTTGCACACTTTTTTCTTTATTTTTCATTCAGAATGCTTTAAAAATTTCATTTACAAGACAATTGTTTATAATAAAATTCTATTCAATCGGTAGACTCATAACGATTGAAAACCATGTTTTTGTTTGAGTTTGGGTTTGACCAATTCGAAAAAAAAAAACAGAACAAAAAAAAACAAAAAAAAACTAATTAAGACATGCGTGTCCATCAACCTTAAACAATAATCTTTGTCAATTTTATTTTTCAGTCTTTTTGATGGCCGATACTTGATTTATCTCTTACTGTTACATCCCCGGGCAACGCCGGGCTCTATTGCTAGTTATTACATATTAGCCAAATTATCCGCTCTTTGCTGTATGTCACTCATATTTTTTTTTTTTTGGAAGAAAGTGATGATTGATTTTAAATCATTGTTAAAATTTGTGAAGAATAATTAAGTATTTCAATATTACTCAATGATCTTGCCGATATGACCTCCATCTTCTGGCTTTCTCCTTCTGTATTTTGGATAGGAGACTTTCTCTTATTCAAATTTAAATTTAATTTAAATCAAACGGAAAAAAATCACTGGCGGTGTTCAACAACAGCTTGATCTAACCCCTTTGATATCTACTTGATGCAATTCTTGATTGAATGAATTGATGAGCAGATTGAATTGTCGCAACAAATAAGTAATGTAAGGCACTACTCACTGATTGGTGATTTCTTGCTCAACTTGACGTCCATATTGTCTCATTTTGATCTTGCCGATGTGACCTCCATCTTCTGGTTTTCTCCTTCTTTATTTTGAACAGGAGTGTTTATATTTAAATTTAATTTATATCAAATGGAAAAAAACTCAGTGGTGGGGGTTCTCCCTCTTTGATCAAAATGAAATACACTTATCCAAGTACCCTAGGAGACATTCCCTTGTTCAAAATTAATTTTAATTTAAATCCAAGGGAAAATTTTTTCAGTGGTGAGGGCGGGGGGGTTGAAAACTACCCCCCCTTGCGGGGAAGCCCCTTTGATCAAAATGAAATATACATATCCAAGTAACCTTGTAGTCATGCCCCTGGTCAAATTTAAATTTAATTTAAATCAAATGGGAAAAATCAGTGGGTGGGTTAGCCCACCTCCTTCCCGAGACCCCCTTTGATCAAAATGAAATATACTTATACAAGTACACAAGTACTCTTGGTAATCTAGTTTCAGAATATATATGGTTATGGGGTTCTACCTCCAAAACCCATGGGGATTTCAATAAAAAAAGACAAAGGCTTTACAGATATAGATGCATTATCAAAATGGCGCTGACAATGATGGATAAAGAAAAAATAACCCAATTAATAAATATTAACTTTCTTGCTTTTAGTCTACACTGAATAAATAAATAATGCAACTATGGGAGAAACGCTACCAAAGAACATGAGTTCAAGTCTAATCGTGGGTTACTATTTCTTTTTCTTTCTTTTACCAATCTAAGTTGCTTCATTCTCTTTCTCTAAAATGGCAGTTTTAATTACAGAAAAAAAAAACGAAGACAGAAAATATCAGTTAAAGAATTCTGCCTCTCGTAAAAAATAAAATAAATAAGGGGAAAAGTAAATGCGGAGGTTGCAACATCCAACAAAACACCACATTTCAATTCGCTGTCAGCAGAAACTTAAGACTGGAGAAAGACCGAATTTTAATCTTTGTCAAGATTAGAAGGTGAGACGTGAAAGGACTTTAGAAGCTGGTTACCTGCTGTCGCTTGTCAGAGGATATAATTACAGAACCCTTTTCTGGCTTCGGCATGTCGACAAAGATAGGTGAGAAGATGTTTATGGGCGAAACTGGAGATTGACAGCACACTGCTGCTGCCATAGCTGTCGATGATGCACTTTAAGGAGAAGAAGGAGACAGGCAGGAGCGCCCGTTCAGACATTTAGAATTTAATTGTCTATTAACA